AGAGGAGAGGGTCAGAGGAGAGAGGGTCAGGGAGAGAGGTCAGAGGAGAGGAGGAGAGGGTCAGAGGAGGAGAGGAGAGGAGGAGAGGGTCAGAGGAGAGGGTCAGAGGAGGAGAGGTCAGAGGAGGAGAGGGTCAGAGGAGGAGAGGAGAGGAGAGAGGGTCAGAGGAGAGAGTCAGAGGAGGAGAGGAGTCAGAGGAGGAGAGGTCAGAGGAGTCAGAGGAGGAGAGGAGAGGGGTCAGAGGAGGAGAGGAGAGGGTCAGAGGAGGAGAGGGTCAGAGGGAGAGGAGAGGGTCAGAGGAGGAGAGGAGAGGGTCAGAGGAGGAGAGGGTCAGAGGAGGAGAGGGTCAGAGGAGAGAGGGTCAGAGGAGGAGGAGAGGGTCAGAGGAGGAGAGGGTCAGAGGAGGAGGAGAGGGTCAGAGGAGGAGAGGGTCAGAGGAGGGAGAGGGTCAGAGGAGGAGAGGGTCAGAGGAGAGAGGGTCAGAGGAGGAGAGAGGAGTCAGAGGAGAGGGTCAGAGGAGGAGAGGAGAGGGTCAGAGGAGGAGAGGAGAGGGTCAGAGGAGGAGAGGGTCAGAGGAGGAGAGGGTCAGAGGAAGAGAGGGTCAGAGGAGGAGAGGGTCAGAGGAGGAGAGGGTCAGAGGAGGAGAGGGTCAGAGGGTCAGAGGAGGAGAGGTCAGAGGGTCAGAGGAGGAGAGGAGAGGGTCAGAGGAGGAGAGGAGAGGAGGAGAGGAGAGGGTCAGAGGAGGAGAGGAGAGAGAGGTCAGAGGAGGAGAGGGTCAGAGGAGGAGAGGAGAGGGTCAGAGGAGCAGAGGGTCAGAGGAGAGGGTCAGAGGTCAGAGGAGAGGGTCAGAGGAGGAGAGGAGAGGAGTCAGAGGAGGAGAGGGTCAGATGGTTCTGTCTCTTCTCCTCCTCTCGTCCCTCGTACCAGGGGCCGTGTGGTTCGTGTCCTTCATCATGTTGTTCACCTCCTGCAGAGTCGCTGATGGATGATTTGTCATAATTGTGTCGATGAAAATTCTTGACATATTTCTCGCTCAGAGACGGAGAACTCCTGCTTCAGATCTGTTAATGTTCAACCATTTCACAACCTCACGAACTCCTCAAACTATTCCAGATAACAACATAACAAACCAGGGACACGAGAAGAGAAGGAGCTCCAAAAGGACAGGGTTAAAGAGCCACATTTCACTATTTTCTCTTCTAATGTCAGTTCCTCATCATAAACCCACTGCAGACCACATCCAGATCACATTTTTTTACAACATCTTCCGAACGTCCAGTATTGACATTCAGATCTGTGATGTTCTAGTCCAAATGAGGTCGTTGTTAACGTCTTTTCTAGGTTAATAGTAATAATAATAATGCATCAGTTTTATGTAGCACTTTTCTGGACACTCAAAAACATTTTCCAGAGCTTTATTTATTCACTTTAAACTCTGTGGTGGTAAGATACTACTGTAGCCACAGCTGCCCTGGGACAGACTGACAGAAACGAGGCTGCCAATCTGCGCCATCAGTCCCTCCGACCGCCACCATCACTCACACACACACACAGCTTTCATACTAGGCAATGTGGGTGAAGTGTCTTGCCTAAGGACACAATGACAGTTTTTGTGACTGCCGCCCCACTGTGGCTCCTGATTTACCCAGTGTCTCCATCCAAGTATTAACCAGACCTCTGAGCCATAAAAAAAAGTAATACTTTATAATAACTACACCTTATTTAGCCTTAATAAAGCATGAACAAAGACTTAATTAATAATCATTCACGCTTAGTAACTACTTAATTACTACCTGAATTAGCACTTGCACTTAATTTGCCTGTGCTGTAAATAGTTACTCATAATTATTTCATACTTAATTACTCATGAACTAACCATTTGAGCATTTATTAATCATTAGTAAACTATGAGAGAATGATTTACTAATAATACAATGCAATGATCATTCAGGCAGCTGTTATCTGTTAGTTAAGTCTTTCTGAGAGCTTTTTTAAAGTGAAGACAATTTATCCTTTATTAAACATTTAGTTGTGTTATTATTATTATTAATTAAGTCTTTGTTCATGCTTTATTAAGGCTAAATAATGTGTAGTTATTATAAAGGGTTACCAAAACAAAAAACAAAAAAAAAAAAACACCATGTTCCACCTTGTGATGTCATGTGGTAATACAGGAAGTGCTCCACTGTGTTTTTAAACTCCACACACCTTCACTAGAATCATCTGGATCATTTCAGCCCTGGAATTGTCATTCACTACTGAACTAAAGGGAAAAGGAGCTGTTCACTTGAAAACTTCCACTTCATGACATCACAAGGTGGAACAGAGTGTTTGGAGCTTTGGAGATGTAAACAGACGAATAATAAAGAGTCACTCAAACATGTGAATGAAACAAAACACAAGTCCAGGTTTGATTCTGAGGAGGGAACAACATTAGAAAATGATTCACAAGAGACTCAGCTGCTGCAGAATATATTACTCAAGTAAATGTACTGTTACTTCAATAAAAACATGGCTCAAGTAGGAGTAAAAAAAAAAGTGCTCTGAAAAGTGCAATTTCTTCACAAAGT